AATTTTGAGTAAGTTGGTTTCTTCAAAGCAAAATATAAGTTCTTCCATATTCTTTTAACAAGAGGCCATGTAAAAATCGAAAGTCAAAACAGGATACATTGTTTATTCAAGCAAACGACATACTACTTTCGGGAAGTCGTTCGAAAAGAAAGATTTTCAGATTCAGATTACACTTGCGAAATAGCACAAAATTGTCAAGCAAGCGATTTACAGATTTCAACTGCAGGCGACGACAGCTCAAAAATACTAATTTTGATGACTGAGCAGTTTTTAAATAAAATAAAGTACTGTGGTGGAATTTTCAGAAATGTGGGAAAGTGCGGGTAAGGAAAGGGGAAAAAATTTAAATTAGTGTAGAAAACGAAATTTGATTTAATAATATCACGGCTAATCTTTAGAATATGGTAACAGGTAGTTTGGCGACATTTTGGTAAGGCGATAAAGGTTACTAGCTAGGACTTTAGCAATAATCTGAGAAGTACACAGTTCGACTCACAGATTATTTTGTCTCAGAGAAATGAGAGATCATGAGACATGTAATGTGACATTTCCCGGAAAATTCCAATCGGGATTTTAGCACTTGCAAACAATTTCGCTGCTAAAGTGCAGAATCGCCTACTTATTTGTTTGGCGCTTTTTACAAGAGTAAGAAGAATTGGATTTTTGTCTATTTTCTTTGACTTTCTAAGTGAAAATAGATCGATGTGTACATAGATAAAGTCAAGAGTGTGCGCAATGCCATTTTTGTGCAATACTGGGATGTTTTTTTTAAGTGAAAATAGGTCGACGTGTTTTAAGAATTGCATATACACGGTAATCCTACACCAGCTGTACATTTACTTGTTCAAAGCTTCTAAATCTGTTAAGTTTCACTTCACCGCTAAATAAACTTTTAACTAAAAAATCAACCATTCCCCAAACACCGGCCTAGTTACCCCTTTCGAAAACCCCATTGAAAGTATTCACCGAGGTGGGCAACATGATAGAAACGCTTTCATGAACAAGCTGCTAATGACTACAGCAGATTCTACCTAAGACCTCTTCTCGTTGTGCAACTGTTCCCTCGATGTGCTCCGGTGACTTCTCCCACTTTGCTTATCGGCTCAACGACACACGGACCCCAGGCAGAGGCCCCTACGCAACCAGGCGTGTGCTTCTTCCGGTGGATTGCAGATAGCACCCATCATTCGCAGGTGCTCAGAGACAGATGCAGCAACAAAGGTGACTTTCCTTATTTCATTAAAAGTGCTGAGAATCTGAACGACCTGAAGAATCGAAAAATAACACACATTTACCTTCGGACATGAGACCATTACATGTCCGAACTGCAACAGGTATCGGATACGTAGAATTCTCGGTAAATTTAAGCTACAAGAAGGTAGCTTATATAAACTAAATAACAATAAAATGCAGTTAAAAATAGGGGAAAAAATAAAATTTATATTACGTTCAAGGGGGCGTTATTTCTTTTTTTTTTTTTTAATCCATTTACACACACATATACACGCTTCGACAACATTTGGGCTGATGTCCCTTTTGGCTAAAAATACTTAAAAACAGCATATCTTTAGAATTTCCGATTGAGTCTCGCGCGCTGGAGATAGAAGTGTTTTATTCTTTACACTATTGCCACAGCTCGCTTTGAAATCGTCGAGTTTGTTAATAAAAAATTCGTTAAAAGTTTACAAAATTTGAAATAGAAAATAAAACAGATTCCAAATTCGGGCTTCCAGATGCTAATTCGGGTAGAGGACTAAGTTATTCAGAATTGGATGGCTTTAGGTACCGTTGTTTTTCCACAGTGCTAGAAACATACATACATTCATGCAGATTCTTCATTATTTAATTTCCTCAAATATAATACAGGTAAAGGTAGAAGCTAGACCAGCACCTCCATAGTACTACAGGTAATTGAGGTATTGCTGAACCTCGCTAACTGCTAAACTTTCCACCCCAGTTATGAGGGAGAACACTCCGGGGGTGGTCCGAGGTTCTCCGGCCCCTCTTTTTTTACCATCAACCTCTTCAGAGGACTTTCTGAGGTAACTGATTTCTGGTATTTATAATATACACAAATCATACTGAGGAAAGACTGTCCTTGAAAAGTTCAACAACGAATGCTTCTATGAGTCTAAATGTATGAACAAATGTCCTTTCTAAGGTGGAAGGGGTAATAAGCAAATCTTTGGAGCTCCCGTCTATCAGCATTGCGTAGAAAAATGAAATTTCAAATACAATACACGGCAATAAAATTTGGTGGCAACAATTTCAAATATAATACACGGCGATAAAATTTGGTGGCAACAATTTGAAAAGTGATACTTTTAGTGAGTCGACACGAAATGCCGTTCCGAAATCAACTGCCCTTCTGGGCGAATAAGAAATACACAATATTATTTTCTACAGATTAGTTGAATGCAAGGCACAGCAATATTTTGTTACTTATATACGACTGCAGTTATACATGAACGATGGAATGAATTTAAAATAATATGACAAAGTTTTGTTCTTTGTTGCCAGGAGCTTGTTTCATTCCTCTCATTATTATAAACCGATATAAAAGAAGCAAGAACCAACCTGAGTTGGTCTTATTCAGCGACTTGCAAGGATAACACACTTCTTTCTGGGAAATATTCAAAAGTATACAACACCCCCCCCCCCGCTTAAGTTCATAATGGGCATAAGGCATAAATCGTATTCGACGCCTTAAGAGCTCTTTTGGATGAATTTAAACCTCAAACAAGGTGCCTCATGACGCAACTAAATTGCTCATCACTAATGATCGTAAGTATTCTGATTTATTGTCATTTAAAGTATCCTTAGACATCTGCTCATACTTACGTTATCGATTAATTTTCATAATAAACGTCAACAATTTAAATTGCGATCACATTAAATATAAATCACAATAACATCGCGATTAAATAGTTGTCACGAACAACTCAACGTTTGTGTAAACGCACTTTTTTCTTAAAGTTATTTTTTATGCTCTGGCAACACCGTTTTTGTTTATGTTTAGAATATTAAAAGCGGAAATCGTTTTATTTTGATTACCGATTCTTTTTTTTTTTTTTTTTTAAATGTTTTTTTACTGTAGAATAAACGATTAGCCTTACTCGTGTTCTTTAACTGTGGAAGAATGTTTAAATAAATTCTCAGCCACCCAAAAACCCGTTTGCAAGCATCATCATGATTATGATTCATACTATTTTTTAATGTCCACTCTAATTAACAAAGAAAGTCATAGGAATGACGATTATATTGCGTGGTTAGAAATAGCGAAAAGGCAGACGATTCCCTCACACATAATTAGTAATACTTCCAGGACACTTATTACCTCAGTAGGGAGGGAAAAAGGGAAGAAATTATAGATTATCAATTATCTTCGTTCTGAATAATTCTGTGCAAACATCACGTTCTCACGCTATCATTATTTTAACGGGATAAATTATTCAGAGAGCTGGTAAAATTAGGGTAATAATTTCATGGAGAGAGAGAGGGAAGTAAAATTCGCTCACGTAAAATAATGTAATTTCGCGGCCTAGGATTTAGATTAATAATTCCATCGCCATATGCTAGCTTTCAGAGAAATGAAAATGTCTACTAGTATGAAGCAATAATACAAGTACAGAATTATTTTAATAAAGGTAATTTAAAAGACTTAACTCTTAAATGCATGTAAACATTTGGCAACATACTCATATTTAGTCACGAAAATGAAGTCGAAACACTAATTTTAGCTTACTGCATAGTCTAACCCATTGGACACATGCTGTTTACGTACATAGTTTTGAAAATTTCAGTGTAACAGTCATTATTGCGAGTTGATGTGTAGGGTGTGGATATTATTTGTGTTTACGAAATTTTTGATTTTGCACTTGTTGTTATTTTGGTGTATTCAAAGTTTTAAAATTGTTTGAGCACGCTTATAAGGAATGTCTATTACATAAAACTGTTATTACACATTTGCTTATCATATATATAGATAATTCTACTTTTATTAAACTTAGGAAATAATATAGGCAATTAATCAATATTATTTTAGTAAATAAATGATTATTAACTTACTTTGCAGCAATTGCGCAAGTAGTAGTAACTTGTTTTCGCACTAAATGAATTAAAATTGTAATAAAAACTTAGTTTTTTTTTTTTTTTTTTTTTTAGTATTTTTTCTATTCATTTGATATCAATTCTGATGTAGTTTTGACTTAAAATTTAAAAAAATAAAATACATTACGCTCAAAAGGGCGTTTTTTTACGTTTCGTGGGTTACCTTTATTTATTAAATATCACGTTCTTCGCACTTATACCATAACATTCAATACAACAGCAATATCGCAAAATAATTTTAAAACAGAATTTCCGATACACAGTCTCGCGCGCTGGAGATAAAAATGTTTTTTCGGTACAACGTTGCCATTGCTCGCTTTGAAATCGTTGCGTTTATTAATCAAAAATTCGTTAAAGGTTTTACAAAATATGAAATAAATAATAAAACAAATTCCAAATTAGGGCTTCCAGAAGCCTATATTCCGTGGAAAATTACGTTATTCATAATGGCTGGCTATAAGTACAGTTTTATCACAATGCGAGAAACATAAATACATTTATGCAGATTCTTCAATATTTAATTTCTTTGAATATAACACGGGGATCTAATATTTGGTGACAAAAATTTGAAAAGTGAAACGACATTTATAGTGACCTAATGCAAAATGCCAAAACGAAATTAATAGCCCTCCTGGGCTAAAATCCTCATGGACCTCCTTTGGGCTTAAAAATAAATAAATAAATAAATTATAGTAGCTTAGCAGGGTATGTCCGTCGAGACGGAGCCCTTTCTGGGTTTGGAAATAAATAAATAAGAATGCGATAAAATTTCTTCAATTCAATGAAACTACCATCTTTAGAAAATAATTTTGGAATAACGAAATTTCTTTCATTTTCTTTAAAAACTAGATAACAGAACAGACCAAACATTGTAACAATAAGCAGCTTACCCATACGATGGATGTCAGCAGTAAATTCCACCACAGAACGAAATATCCAAACAAGGAGGATAACAGAACGGAGAACAACTTTTCAATTCATTACGATCACTCACAACATGTCCGGACGAGAGACGAACTGAGAATGAACTTCAACAAGTCGAGGGAACGATCGTCGACAACCTCGCTATTTACGGCAACCTTAGCCTAGGCGAAAAGAACTGTGCGCCAAAGTCATGACTGCCCGCGACAGTGTCAGTTTTTTCCCTCGCTCCCGCGAAAAAAAAATCTGAAACCTTTCAAATTTTTATATTACGATTACGACCAAAGGGGCGTTTTTTTTAAAACGTTTTGTGGGTTACCTTTATTTATTAAATATCATCTTCTTCGCACTTAAAGTATAAAATGTAATTCAACAGCAATATCGCAAAATGTTTAAAAGAGCATACCTTTAGAATTTCCGACACACAGTCCCGCGCGCCTGGAGATATAAATGGTGTTTTTTTTTTTTTTTTTTTTTTTTTTTTTTTTTTTTTTTTTGTGGACATGTTGCCATTGCTTCGCTTTGAAATCGTTGAGATTCTTTATCAAAAATTCGTGTTACAAAAATGAAAATCTCACAAAATATAAAATCAAGGTAACAAAACAAATTCCAAATTCCAAATTAGGTTCTTGCCGGGTTTCCATTATTCGGTATGGAGACGTACGTTATTCAAAAACTGGGATGGATTCTAGGCACCGTTGTTTTATCACAATGCGAGAAACATACATACATTTATGCAAATTCTTCGTTGCTTAATTTCTTTTAATTATAATACAGGGTGATAATATTCGGTGGCAACAATTTAAAAAAATGATTCGCCGTTTATAGTGAATTAACGTAAAATGTCGAGACGAAATTAATAGCCATTATGGGAAAATTGTCCCTTTGGGCTAAAAGGAGAATGGGAGGAAAGAAAATGTAAAGAAAGAAAGGAAAAGTAAAATGAAAAATTTCTATTTTCTGGGAACTTTTATGAAACTGTACAAAACAGTCCAATTACTTTTCAGTCCATAGACATTTTTATATAAAGGGGATTTTGTTAGTAAGGGAAGTCTTGAATTAAGCGGAAAAATATGTTATAATTTTCAATATCAGATTTCCTACGATGTAATATATAGATAGGATGATTATGTAACTCTAATAATATATACATGTGTATGTACATAGACAAAAAGTAAAGAATTTAGAACCAAATCCACCAAGACCCGAAAGAAATGAAATTCAAAACCAATAAATTAAAAAAAATTCGTGAAATTACAAATATGTGTATGCATTTAATACAAGATTAGGCCCAAATTGCATTTCTGTGTTAGGCATGTTTAATAAAGCTAATTTTGGTTTAATATTTTAGTAAAGGTACTACTTCCAAGAAAAATAGCGTTTCAATGCTTTGTCATTTAATAACCTTCTTTTAAAAAATTTACAGGAAGGTGTTTGACTGATTTAAGAATTCGTTTTTTTCTACTATTTATCATCTAGTTTCTTCTTTTTTATTTAAGGATTTCTTTGCGTTGAGTTCAATTAGGGGAAAGGAAAATAATATAGTGTTTCTGAAGAGAGAATAGCCTCGTGTTATTGTTTTCAGTTTTCACTTTGGCGATACATTTGCGAAAATTGGGCGAATCGTCGCTCGCCAAGAAATCGCTTAAGCGCCAAATGTCGCCGTAGGTGAGATCCTTACTGGAAGACCGGTTTGCATTGCAAATGGAGCACTTTCTTCACTTCCCTCCGCGCATTCCACCTATCTGTCACTCCATTAGACTGTACTCGAGACCTCCATCGCCCCTCCCCCCACCCCAAACTTACTTAAAAGGCTTCACTTTACACAAATCTTACCCTTCGTGTTTCTTTTCCCCTCCTCTTTATTATTATTTTTTTAACTTAACGACAAAATCCCAAACGGCTTTCTATCACTTGCTGAAACCAGCACCCAAGATCGAACACAATCCTGCTTGCTGTTAAGCTTCCCCCCTTTCTGTTTTCTTTTCTTGATGGATCGATATGAATGCCATTAACACTTTATTCTCAATTTTATAGCTTCGTGTATTATCTAAGTGTGAACGACTGGTGTAAAAGACACTTTAGCTACTAAAACATGCTTTAAATTAATGTGTTTTATACTGTACAAAAATACATGCTCTGGGCAACCTCATAACAGTATCGTCAGGCAAAATTACTAAAGTAACGTAAAAAAAATCTGAAAGGTTACAGATTTTACATTTTGTGTGCAAAGTGGCGTTTTTTTAACGTTTCGTGTGTTACCTTTATTTATTAAATATCATGTTCTTCGCACTTATACTATAAAATTCAATTCAACAGCAATATCGTAAAATAATTTTAAAATGAGCATATCTTTAGAATTTCCGATACGCAGTCTCGCGCGCTGGAGATAGTTTTTTTTTTTTTTTTTTCCCGCAGAGTGTTGCCATTGCTCTCTTTGAAATCGTTGAGCTCGTTAATCAAAAATGCATCAAAGTGTTACAAAATATGAAATCGATAACAAAACAAATTCCAAATTCGGGCTTCCAGATGCTCATATTCGGTGGAGGATTACGTTATTCAAAATCTGATGGCCCTAGGTGCCGTTGTTTTATCATAGTGCGGGAAACATACATACGTTTATGCAGATTCTTCATTATTTAATTTCTTTAACTATAATACAGGGCTGTAATATTTGGTGGCAACAGTTTGAAAAGTGAATCAACGCAGAAAGTGAATCGAGGCAAAATGCCAAAACTAAACTAATAGTCGTTCGTGGCAAATTGCCCGTTTGGACTAAAAATCCAATTCCCGCTATTTTTCTCAGCAGATTACAAGTGCAGTAAGAGATATGAATAAAAAAAAAAAAAAATCTGTTGTGTTCACCACATGACTTCCTTGTCCGGAATATTAAATTATACGCATTTTTTCTTCCATTTCATTTAAACATATTGGATTGAATTAAATGTACTTCGCCGACAGCGCACAAACCACAATAGAATAAATGCATTCTTTAAAATTCACTCTATTTGTTTACCATAGCGACACTCTGGCGCTAGGTTCACTTAACAGTATTATATTTCGTTCATATTATAACTCCTAATGCACAAAATTTATATCATTTAAAGAATAGAATTATCTAATCGTTGCCACATGTTCTATTTAAATGCTATAATAAAGCTAGAATGATGTACAAAAGAAATTAAGCAAACAAAGCAAAAAAGAAAAAGTTTTTCACAGACGATTGAGTATTTCTCATTCAATTAATTCAGTTCTCACTTCGCGAGAAGGCACAAATGCATAAAAACTCAAAATATCTATATTAAAAATTACGAAGTAAATCTTAAACACTTATTTCCTGGAAAAAATTCCAGAAAGGATTAAGCAGGATTTAATTGGCAACAATAAATGAAGGCGTTATCTTTGTTGTTGCGAAGCGAAGTTTCTCTAGATTGGCAACAAATCCACTAGTCTGCTGTTTCAAATGTAAACAAGCAATGGCCGCCATCAAAAAAATTATTAGGCTTAGCGACACTTAAACAACTTTAAAATTGTTGATAATTCTAAAAATATTGCATAGGCATAAAAACCTTAACCGGAAGATAAGAACAACATAATTCAATCATTTTTAAAGCAAAAAAAATGTACAATTTACAAACATATAAGAGTAAAGAAACAGATCACTGAGCCGGGTAACAGAGAGGATATATATATAAACATATTTATATATGTTTGGTGCGGCCGACTGCAACCAAAATACGAGGTGCACATCTACATGTTATAGCAGTCCTATATACGAAATTTCAACGTTCTGAGGCTACAACGTTATTGAGTTATGCGAGATACGTACGTACATATGTTCGTACAGACGTATTCGTAGAAAAATTCTCTTCAGAATTCATTTCAAAGCAGTTTTATAATTTTTTTTGGAGGAAAAGAGTCCTTTATTCTGTCCTTACGTACAGATATCACGCATAAACATCGTTAAATTGCATTCGATAGCGGTCAAAATGCATATTTTCGTTGAAATATGCTGCCTGAAACTTTTCGCGATTACAATACTTTCTTTTTACTTCGTACAAGGAAGTAAAAAAGAGGTGCACAACTACATTGAATAGCAGTTCCCCTATACAAAATTCCAACGTTCTAAACGGCTAATCTTCTTTGAATTATGCAAGATGCATTCGTACGTATGTACATACGTATAATTGTTATGAAACAAAAAAAATCTCGTCTATATCCATTTGACAATTCTGTTTGAAAAAGAAAAAAAGAATAGTTCTTAGTATAAATATAAAATAGTCGGTACGCACAGATGCTCCGCAAATAATCGTGAAATTACATTCGATAGCGGTCAGGACGGATATTTTCGTTGAAATAGGATACCCGAAATTTTGGAGGATTACAATACCATCTTTACTTCGAACAAGGACGTAAAAAGGGCTTCGATCACCTGCTTCAGTGTTGGATAACGGTTTCAAATGTGACGTACAGCGTAAAATTTCATTTGATATATCTATGTAGACCTCATTTGAATGTCATGAATAGTTATGTATGCTAACTTTACTTCGCTTGCCGCATACGATTTTTAAATTAACACATATGCTAATGTAGGCCCTTCAGAAATATTATTTCAGATAAATAAAATTATAAGGTTATTTCTCCCACCTTCTTGGCGTACCTTCGTTGTGTAGCGGTTAGCACGCTGGGCCGACATTCCAGAGGTCTGTGGTTCGATTCCCGGCGAAGGCGGTTGCTAATTTTTTATCTCTCCGGCTTTCTCAAAATACCTGCTGTCTCTACAAGATCTTGTGCTGTCTATTACATTCGCCGAAAACAAAGTAATGAAAACGGTGTACCTTAAGGGGTATCAGAAACCCCTATACCGACAATGTTAAATTGGCCATTTTCGATGTACCTTTTCTCAAAATCTGCTGTAGATACAACCTTGAAATTTTTTCTGTATACCTATCTGATTATACTGAAAAGAGCTTTTGAAACATTTTAAATTTTAGAGTAAATTACAGAATATTTTGTTAGGCATGGTAAATTTAACACTTTTCTCACACATTAAATTTTTTTTTCAAAGTTTATTACAAAAAGCTCATTTTAGTAAATATTAGGGAACCTAATAAATA